GCTATAAGAGCTATTTTAGCACATATAGCGCTATATAGTGCCCCATAGAACAAACGATTTTTCCTGATGTATGAAGGACTAGATGAGGGCCAATGCAACAAAACATATACTGATCAATGGAAACTGGACAGGCATATGCAGCTTCATACTACTCATCGCGGAGCTCAATACTGTCCATTTTGTCAAGATGATCCAAATGCATCAGACGCCAAGAAGAATAAAGTCTGGCCAATACTCAAAGCACTACTCCGCCACACTAAAGGAGTCCATAAAGTCGACTCTATTCCACCAGAGCAGAGAAGGCCAGCCACCTTGGCCTCACAGATTCAAGCAGAAGAAGAAGAAGGTGGCAATGAAGACAATGACGATGATGACTGCATTCCGATACAGCAAAGGCCAGATATGATAGCAGAAATAAGGAGAATGCATCAAGTTTTTTTTAAATAGCACAGTATGATTAGCGCTTGTGTGTAGTCACCCTTGTATATTATCATTGATCACTTGAAGCTCATTAAAACGGGTGTACCAACATCTTTTGTCAATTTGTGGGTAGATGCGATTAAAGGAATTTTAAAAATGTAAAAAGAATTGACCACCGCAGGACTCGAACCAACAATCTCCTGATATGATTACATAAGGTACTCCCATATGATAATCGTAGTCAGACGTGATACCATTTCGCCAGGCGGCCAATGTTAATATAGGAAGTCTATCAAACTATGACCTCTACTAGAAGCCAACAAGACCAGAAAAAGATGCTACACTTATGACCCAACATGACCACTTCATTTATGTGGTGCAATGCAGTCATGAAACAGTGGCGTACCAAGGCCCAGAACATTTGTGAACGAGGCCTAAGGAAGAAAAAACTGCCAGCTTCAAGAATTGAACTCACCATGGCGTGTCAAGACCTGCACACTAACCAACTGAGCTACTGTGGCTATACATATCTATGTTGTCAAGACAAATAATAACTACTCCAGCTACCACTAAGGTCATGAAAAACATTGATGTTCGACATTCTTGGTGAGGAATGTCCACTAAAAGGTGTGAAACAGGGGGCTTAGGGTAGAGATTGCAGGTTCAACCCCTGCGGTGGTCAATTCTTTTGCTTGAATGTATTCTTTTTCGCAACTGCATCATTGTAACCCTGTGTGCCTGCGATGAGAAAAGTGCTCAAATCTAGACATAAGAATAAACTTACCTTGAAATTTTTTGCAACTATATTGACCTTGAACATTGCGTAGGCCACAACATACACTTCAACATCGCATAGTTTCATATACTAGCAAATATTAATTCAAGCTGTTGGGATTGTACTAGCATCACATACCTTTCCTTGGGCCACATATTCCATACAAGAAGGTCCCATAGTACTTGATCGCATGGTTGTGTACATGATCATCAAAGTCGCAATGACATCTTGTACCTTGATTGCACGTCCCGATGTAACAGAATTCATCAACGCTTCCGTGATCATGAGCTGAACTTCAGGCCTGCCCAGGTATCGTTTCTCATTCTCTTATCGATCCAACTTGAAGTCATCGATCACTAGAATTGGAGTTAGATATTGAATTGAAGGATCATGATTAATTACATTGAGAAACTTAATTGTGAATTTCGCCATACAGCCCTCCCTTTACAAGAAGAGTTGTGCCCATTGGTTGGTCATCAGCGCCCCAAGTTAATTTTACAATGCAAAACAACAGAGTTGTTTCCCATGCACGGAGGGTTGACGCCTTGACATAAGCTGATGTTCGCCCAGAGGAATGAGCTACCTAGTAAAGTCGTGGCATTAGTAGAGAACAAGCAAGCATTGCTGAATGCCATACGTACCCGCCACCTGAGGTACAACTGTGCATATTTCCTGACAACGTCTACATGCCAGTAGTCCACTTCATTGACCAGGGGTGCAACAGTAGCCAAGATAACAGACCATGTCATTAAGAGGCCTTCACGAGTACAGCGTGTGAATGGATTTTCACGGTTGACTACTCGTTCCGAAAGTGCTGTCATGCGTGCAATTTCCTCTTCGAGAGCTGCTGGATCCATCGTAGCACATGTGAGCTGCCTACGTAGTCTGACATTGCTATTAGGGTTGTTGATTCTGTTGAGCACAGCTTGAGGGATGGCTGGAACACCCCTTGGTTGAATGCTCGGTGGATCCGGAGCTACTGGGTGTGACGACGGGCCTTGGTCACCATTAACTTGCAGCATGATGCCAATGTGTCGGGCCATCGCGCTGCCCCATTCAGGCTGGCCCGGGTTACATGGTAGACTTTGTGACGCTGCAGGGGCACCATAACCGAATGCACGGGAGGGAAATTGATCTGAGCCAAAAGAAGGACCCAAAATTTGAAAGCCAGGCTGAAAAGTGTACAAGGGATCTATGGAATGTTAGACAGAGCCATGATAAATGCAGTGAACTTGCATTGGTTCCGATTATGTTCGTTTATCATGGGCATTCCATGTTCGTAGTTGTTGGACATGGTGGTGTTGGTGCAAAACAAGTTTCGTGTCGTATACTGTATATATGCGTTACTGAATGTGGCCAATACCGAGAGATGCACCGCAGTGTCGTGATGGAAGCAGGGGACTCGGGATTCGGGTATGCCGATTTTTGGGAATGAACCTGCACACAAACGAATATAAGGTTTTTGCCACATATGGGAAGGAAACGAGGGATGCAGGCCGGCAGCCCCAAACTGGTTGTTAAATCACCACAGCAAGTGAATGGTTTCGAGTACTAGGGATTAGTAACATCTCCCCTCATTAAAATCGCATGCAACAACTCACACTAGAAACGTAACCTGTGGGTCACACAGGGCCGCATTGACCCCAGGCGCCAAATCCTGATAGCTCTCGCATTTTATCATTCAAGGGGGCCTACTGGCAGTCAGAAAATTGAATCAAACATTAGACTAGTATATTAGTTAGTAGACAGAGTGAATTCTTATTTTGGACACAATATCAACTTCCTGTTTTGGTAATGCTGGAGGTGTAAGTGTTACAATACGTATAATTATTTTCTTTCTTTTCATTATCTCATCTTTTCTCGATCACATGACTTCTGGATCACGTGACACTTTCACATTATCACTTCCTCCCTTGTACATTATCACCCATGCTTCCATTTCACCTTACTCACCTTTCACTTATCTTCACAGTGCATGTTCGCCTCACGGCAAACACATTGTACATAGCCTTTGACTACCTTTCATTTCCGAACACTGGTTTCACCTCATGTCGTCCTTGCTTTCGCCTTGCGTATTTAATTAGTGTACAAACATGTACATACGAGTCTCTGTATTTAAACCTGCAATAAACAGCCAGAGACTCTAATCGAGTTCTCTTGGCCTTACAGTCAAAGTCCTCCCTTCTAGCTGCCTAGTCACTACGACAGAGCAGTACTTCAGTCTTCGTTTCAAATCTTTAACCTTTCATCTTTCTATATCGTTGTTTTGGTGTTTTCGTTGGCAATCTTTGTCTTCGTAACAGTAAGTGCTCCAGCAGTGTGCTGGGTCAGTTCAAACTGGGACGCCTTGGGCGGCACTTCACGCAATATTGACTTCCTGTTTTGGTAATGCTGGAGGTGCAAGTGCTCCAGTAGTGTGCTGGGTGGGACGGGGACCTCATGCAGGCTCCCTTGTATGCTTGGTTCTGTGGGAAAGGTCGGCCCCCTGCATGCCAGTGTGGACTCGCAAGCTTGCCACACGCAGGGGTCCAACCTCCCCCACAGAACAAGATTGCAGGTTCAACCCCTGCGGTGGTCAATCCTTTTGTTTTCTTCCATTTTTTTTAAAAATGGGTCACTTCCCAAGGCCTGTATACTATGAGAATCTACCCATGCAAAGAAACAAGTAATGTAAAGTTGCATAAGATTTGGGAAGATGCATTGAACAAGGCACCACAGTGCGCCACAGAACGACAGAGCAGCCAGGATTTTCCTTGTGGGCTAAATTTTGTCTCCGACCAATAAAGCCACAATGTTGCACCAGTCGTGGGGGCAGGTTTAGCGGGACCTAGCGCCACCATGAAAAAGTGGGTGCTCTATCATTCTGAAACGCAGTGTAGTAGTAATACTGTTTACATTCATATATAGCATATAGCAGCATTGAAAGAAAACTACAATCTTCTTGTGGAAAATCAAACAGTCTTTCTGTTGTGCAAGTTGCTAGTCAATGATCAAATTATCCAACATCATGACTACATCAGCAAAATGACAAAAAATATTACCATACTTAGTACTCTTATTCAACTTATATCAGACACATAAGAGTACATAAGTCTTCCCAGTAATAAGAGAAAATTTGGATGGCTTCCTGTATTGCATGGGCAAAGGGGTAAGTGAAAAGAAACACAAACTATATGGGCGAGCTTAAGTATGGTAACAAGGCCTACAGACACCCACTCTCGCCCACCGAAACCACCGAAACCTCATGGATGCTAGCCTGTACTTGAAGAGTACAGTGATGCATTGATGGCCGCCAGCATCTCATCGTTCACAGAACTTACGACAAGACAGATCTAAGTTTTCAACGAAGCTGAGTGCATTTGAGATATGGCTTTGCTAACGGTCGTCATTGTCTGTGGCAGCAGGCTATTTTGACCGGATTCGAGCTCTGGGCGAAGCCTGAGGTATCAATCATGCTCCACTGCACAATTGTTGGGGGAAGGACGCATAGTGTGTTTCGTATCGGTTTTTGCCTGCTTATTATCACGATCAATGACATCACCCTCAGATATCGGGACACTCGAATAGGCGTATCCTCCTGCAGTTGCTCACCCGTCTTCCTACACGTGGGCTGCTTTTTGTAGGCATTTTCCTCAGGTACTTTTTGATGTCCAGATCTGCGCTCACCGCACTCAAGCTCACTGTGATGATGCGTTTCACATACGCAGGGAAGCCTCTTTTATGATCTCCAACTCATCAATCCTTTCTGACTCAATTCAACAGGTAGATACTTGTATATCCCTCTTAGGTTTTTACATCATCGGCCGCCTGGCGAAATGGCATCGCGTCTGACTACGATTGGAGCGTGGAAGTATAATCAAGCATAAATGACATCGGGTTCAAGTGAGAGCGGCCATAGTCTGATTGTGGTGCTAGTTTAACATCGGCCGTCTGGCAAAATGGCATCGCGTCTGACTACGAGCATGTGGCATGTGTTCTTATTGTAACCCAACAGAATTCCAAGCACAATAGTGTTGCATCGTCAGGAAACACTTCTGGACCTTCAGTACCTCC